ATTATCAATATTTAAAACAGTTGAGTACATTTTTTCAGGATTCTTTGATGAACAGAAAGATCCAAAGATCAGCATTTATCTGAAATAAAAAGCTTTTGTAACATATATTTGAATATACCATTCAAAAGCTTGGATTCAGTTTTGTTTTGTTTTTGTGGGAAAGAAATGATAGAAATTAATACTTTTATTTAGCAAGGATGCTCTAAAAAGTGATGATAAGGAAATTTATAATGTTACAAAAGACTTCTATTTCAGATAAATGCTGTTCTTCTGAACTTTCTATTCATTAAAGAAACCTGAAAAAATTCTTCTCAGCTGTTTTCAACATAATAATAATAATAATAATAAATGTTGTTTGAGCAGCAAATCAGAATATTAGAGTGATTTCTGAAGGATCATGTGACTGGAGTAATGATGCTAAAAATTCAGCTTTGAAATCACAGGAATAAATTACATTTTAAAATATATTCAAATAGAAAAAAGTTATTTTAAATAGTAAAAATATTTCAACATTTTACTGTTTTTGCTGTTCTTTGGATCAAATAAATGCAGGCTTGGTGAGCAGAAGAGACTTCTTTAAAAAGCATTAAATCTTACTGTTCAAAATCTTTTGACTGGTACAATCACTTGACACTGATGACTGTAGTTATGACTGCTGAAAATTCAACTATGGCAGAACAGGAATAAATTATTTTAAAATATATCACAAATTATTACATATTACATAATTACAAAATTAAAATATTATTGTTTTACTGTATTTTGATCAAATAAATGCAGCCTTGGTGATCATAAGAGACTTCTTTCAAAAACATTAAAAATCATACCAACTCCAAACTTTTTATTGGTAGTGCTCATTTTTAGTTTTTAATTAATACTTTGATTATTGATTCCTTCATTTGGTGGCACTCCTAGTCCTCCCTATTTGTCTAGTGATAATTTGACCTCAGTGTGTTTTATTTTTTGTGATCTAGGACTTGGCGTCTCATTTTCTTGGATACCAGCTAACAGCATGGTCAGCCATTATTTCAGACGCTGGCGTCCCATTGCCTATGCGATTGCTAGTTCTGGAGAGTGTGTCTTTGCCATGGGATTCAGCCCATTTTTCCAGTGGCTTATCGACAGCTATTCTTGGCAGGGGGCTTTACTCATTATCGGTGGTCTTCAGCTGAATCTGTGTGTTTGTGGTGCTCTGATGAAACCCCTCCCAGCTGCACAAACCTCCATCCAAGACAAACTGGTGCTGGAAGAAAGCAGGACATCAAAAAAAGGCACTTTCCAGTGGTCCCTTCTGCAGAGGCCTGAGCTGCTGCTATATATTGTGTTTGCCATCTTAGCGGCGACGGGTTTCTTCATCCCACCCCTGTTTCTGGTGCCCTATGCCAGCAGTTTGGGCATGGAGCAGTACTGGGCGGCCTCGGTTCTGTCAGTGCTGGCATTGGCAGACCTGCTGGGCAGACTAGCATGCGGGTGGCTGGCTAACCTGCGGCTCGTGAGAAACCTGAAGCTGTTGACCATGGTGGTCACTGCGCTGGGGGTGGTGCTGCTTCTGCTTCCCATTGCACAGAGCTACTGGAGTATCCTGGTCTTTGTCTCACTCTATGGCTTCCTGTTCGGCTGCGTGGTGGCCATCCATGTGACAACTATTGTGGATATTGTTGGACTGAAGGGCTTTGACAGCGCTCTAGGGCTCTTCATGCTGTTACGGAGCTCTGGAGGATTTGTGGGTCCACCTGCTGCAGGTCAGTGCGTGTCATTAACTGTCATGTATGTCAGACTAAAAGTGCGTTCACTCCAAGAGCGCTAACTATAAAGATAATAGCTATAACAATAACTATATTAGTGTCCACAGCAATGGACGATAACATTCTGCTTATAAGCACATTCTGCATATTTCTGTTTAAATATATATATATACAGTGGGTACGGAAAGTATTCAGACCCCCTTAAATTTTTCACTCTTTGTTATATTGCAGCCATTTGCTAAAATCATTTAAATTTTTTATATTATTTTGAGTTCTTTTATTCCTAAAAGACTGAGTATGGCTCAATTTTATGATGGTGTTTTAGTGGGGAGGATACAGACACCGCTAACAGCAGGTTTTGTCTTTGTCTGTGTCAGCCATCTCATGTTTCTTTTGTGTATCTGTGTCACAGGCTGGCTGGTGGACTGGACTCATGACTTCAGTGCTAGTTTCTACTTATCTGGCCTCTGCCTTGTTCTGTCTGGGGTTTTCGTGGTGCTTGTTGACCGGCTGGTGAAAAAGAAAAAACTCAAACTACCAGATTCATGCACTGAGTCTGAGACTACAGATCATCCAATACTAAAAGCGGACTGTGCAGATGTTTAAAAGCCACTTAAGATAATATTCCAGTGTTTTACTTTTGTTATATTATGAACTTTGTTTATTTAAAGCCATATTATTATTAATGTTTTTACTTTTCAAAAAAGCAATAGGCATTTTAGTATCTCAACCTCTCACCCTATAACTTCCAGACAGAGAGATGTTAGTTAAGACTGTGACACCATTGTAGCCACTTTTCAAGCCACTAAAAGTTTGCAGACAGTGACAAGAAATGTCATTCAGAACGTTTTTCTGCCCTTAGAAATAATTAAAGAAGCACGGCAGAGTGCAGATGCAGCTGCTTATTATTTAATCACTCACAGAACAATCATTCATGTATGACTATTTTACAGTATCTGAAAGCAATATAAATAGTCTGATTTGTCTGTTTGTGTGCATTGTCGATACTACAAATTACATGTGCATATAAGCTACATACAGTGGCTCCAAAAAAGTGAAGTGGCATCTGCAAACAAGTAAGATCCTTATCATAGTCTTGAGGTAATTTTTTATCCATTGTTTTATTTAAAATGTTACAAACTTCTTTCTGTTAAGTGTACTTGTACTGTATTAAAATACATTTGTTTTCATACACTTTTAACTGATGCAATTACATTCATTAGTGCCCAAATACTTTTTGGGGCTACTGTATTGTTTCAGAAACCCACAAAGAACAAAGCCATGAGATTAGTTCATTGTTTTTATAAGGTGTTGAGGAAGTGGATTTGGTTACATCACTATTTAAATAAGTCTTGTTTTTCATAATACCACATTTCTCTGAGTTTGTCGAGCAGTTCCTGTCTACTCTGTAGCCTATATGTGGTGTACACGCACACACACGCAGCCTTGGAATCACAAAGATGACTTAGAAATGAAGAAATCCGCTTATATGGACAAAGCTGACAAATGCGTTTTACAAAGAATTTGCCACCCTTGAACCTCAAAATAACAGCCAGCCAAATAATTTTGTGCACTGAACTCATGTTCCAGAATTCTGTTCAATGTTCAGGTTTATGAAAAACACACACAGACACACTATATACTGTTTATATCACATCTGACGATTTTATTAATTTACTTCTATTGTCAAACAGTTTGTTTCTGATATAAATGTGCCATATATGGTGGAATCCTGTTATTTAATGTAATAGCATTTCAGTTTGTTAGAACTTCCCCAAACACGTGTACCAAAGATAAACAGCTGTGTTTTACTTTGGTTTATTGTGTAAGTCATGTCATAGTTTGCAGAGATGGATTTGCCTGTTTATGTGCGGTGTGTCTGAATTTGTGGTGATGACAAGACTGTGCCTTAATTGCAAGCGACAATCGGGGAACTACTATTTATTTTAATGTTCCCTTTGAGTTGCAATAAATTTGTTAGCAGTAGAAAAATAATTTTTAGGTCAATCAGATCAGATTTATTTCTGAATGGCATCTGTGAGTGGAATAAAGGTCATTGGTTCAGACATTTGTTCAGAACTTTAATTACATGCAAGAATTATATTGTTGACAGCCACTTGTTTTTTTATATAGGCATATTTGAGGCATTTGAAAAGCTCTTTTCACATCTGTGAAACATTTTCCTGTAAAATAAAAAAATTATAGTCTAGTAAGCACCACCAAACACTGGCACGTTACCTATAATGGTAGTCAACCGAAGCACTCCAAAAACACACAGTGGCCGTTTACACTGAGAATTGTCGAAAATAATTTGTGAGTCCAGTGATTATCATCAGCTTGTATTGTACTTGGGTGATTCTATAATTGGAGATGCATTTGTCATTTCATAAAGTTAAGAAAAAAAACTGTCCACTAACAGAAATTCTTTCCAGTATCTTACTGAAAACATATTAAATTTTAATGATTCAGTGCTTTGCCAAACACAAGTTACTTCCTTTTTTTGCTTTTAATGAAAAAACAGATGTCTTTATGGCATTGTTTGTCAACTCTGTTACGGACAAATTAGGCAATGTGTAGAAATAACAATAAATCATAAAAGGAAAAATCCTTCTTGTATCATTAGACAAACAGTCCTTACATTCTGAACTGAGATAATATTTCACCTATATGCATACCTTAAAAATAAATAATATTTATAATAAAATAAAATTTGTGTCTACACAGAATTGTCCACTTGGAGCAAATATGTTTCATCAGAAAATGTATTATATACAATATCCAGTAAAAAAAAAAAAAATTGTTTTTGAAATATTATAAGGGTGCATAATATCTCAATAATGTTTATGAGATTTTAAACAACAATTGTATTGTTTTTTTGTGAAAATAGTTCATAAACAGAGTTGACCCTTTAAGTAACAGAATTGTAAAATAACTGAATTGACAGAATTATCCGGTAGACTGTCAATTCTGTTACGCTACTGTCAGCATTGTTATTCAGCATTGTAACATTGGTAACAGAGTTTGACGGTAACAGGATTGACAATTATATTTTATTTTTGCCAAAAACTCCACTTGCTAGCATAGATGCTAAGAGCACATGGCACTAATGAAATCATGATTAAAAGACCTTTAAATAACCCAATGTGTGATCAGTAATACATTTTGTTTTCCTTTTGATATTGTAGTAACAGTGTTGATGTTCTTCAAAATAACTCTTGGTATAAGAATTTTTTAGATTAAAATATTTACTCAGAGAGAGCACACAGACTTTTTAGTGCTTCAGATCTTATCAGTGAGGAAAAGTGACATCATTTCCTGTATTGTACATAGCTGTGGGAGATAATTCCACCAATTTAAAGGCAAAATATGGTACGTTAACAGAATAACAGAGCAAGATTTATGGACAAACCTTTTTATAAGAAAAAAAAGTTATTTTTAAACAATTTACTGTTGTAGAATTAAGTAAATTAGTATTTAGGGATTTTATAAATAAAGTGAATGAAATGTTACAAAAAGAAAAGAACAGTAAAATATTTTGATTACACAATGATACATGATGGAAAAATGCACTGACTAATTCGGACAACAAGAAATCATCACTTTTTACACAAATTATTATATTGTTATTGACTGTAACATCTTGTAATTCATAACAATAAGTAACAAATTATTAAAATGATTAAAAATATAACCATTTGAAAAAAAGCTGAAAAAAAGAATGACTTCTGACACCAAATGTACCTGCAATTATAGAATCACCCA